TGGCCAAATTTTTTTTTTAATATTCTCTAATAGTAAAAGAGAAAAAAAAGTTAAAAATGAGAGTATAAGAATTGCGGACACAATTAATTTGTAATCTTTTTCTGCTTGTTACAGTAAATAAAAGGGCAGCTGGGTGGCGAAGTAAATAGAGCACTGGGCCTAGAGTTGGGATGACCCGTCTTCCTGAGTTCAAATTTGGCCTCAGACACATGCTAGCTATATGAACCTGGGCAAATTACTTAACCCTGTTTGTCTCAGTTTCCTCATCAGTAAAATGAGTTGGAGAAGGAAATGGAAAACCACTCCAATATCTTTGCCAAGAAAACCCAAAATGGGGTCACAAAGAGTTTGACATGACTGAACAATAATATATGATGATGATGATGATGAATTAGTGTTGCTGTCTGAATAATGGATAGCTGGCTAGCCTTAAAGTCAGAATGATTCTGCCTCTGACATCTGCTCGCTGTGTGGTGATGGGCCATTTCATTGCCCTCGGGCAGCTCTCTAAAATTATAAGTTATAGTCTAATTGAAAAGTTTCTACACTTGGGTTTCCCCAGCCCTTATGAAATCACAGACCCCAGCTCCTCCTCTCCCTTAGTAAATGTATGTCTGCACACATGGCTATATTAGATCAATGACCACATCTTGGAATAATTCCATTCAGTTTTTTTCAGGTCATTAACATTCATTTTTCAAACTTTGGAGTTGTATATAGTCTTATATTGAGCTTATAATTATGTTGTATTTTTAAAAAAATCTCTTACAGCAAAACTATTTAATTGGAATTTAGGGGGGATAGGATAGTCTGGTTACTGTAGTATTCTGATTAATTAGGGAAATCTTTTTTTATTTTAGCCCTCACTGAATCGCACCCCCCGCCCCCGCCAATGCATTAGTAAACTTCTGCCTCTAGCAAGTATAGTATAGTGAATATTGTTTTAATATTTCTTAAGTTCATTTTGCTACAGGGTCATCATTGCGAGGATGAATTTTTGTGCAGTTATGCTCTGTGAGTTCAGGAGCAATCTTGTAATTACTCCTCCCCATGCATGTAGTGGACACTCAAACAAAAGTTTTGTTATCGAATGAGAGAGGTAGTATAATGTAGTTGTCAGAGACATCCCCTCTCCAGCCTTGGAGCTAAAAAGGTTTGGGTTCAAACCCTTTCCCGTACATATACTGGCATTGTGACCCTGAGCAAGGCAACTCTCAAACTGTAAATGGTGTCATACTGGCATGGTAGAGGGAATTTCCTCACTGAAGGAGTCCCTTCCTTATTCTGATACTGTATTCTGTCACATTTGATAAGCTTCGTATTAATCAGCCTGTTTGTCCAGTATTTGGATGGGAGACTGGGTTGACATGTATCCAGAGAAACAGAATTGGGAGCATTTTGGAAGAGCCACTAGGAATTTTCTCTCCTACCTAGCTTATTGTTCTTTCTCTGAAGCTGGAATACAGACCTCTGATAATAGTAAAGACAATACCCCGCACTCTCCCATCCCCAGTCAGTCCACAAAGATGAGACTACCAGTCTGTGTTGGTGACATGCAGGTCACTGAAAAGCCCATCTGTCTCTAGTTGTTTTCTCCCATTTTCTTTCTATTCTGCCTGAAATTCCCAGCATTAGAACTATACCTGTCATTGTGCTATATTATTAAAATGCAAATAAATTATTTTCCATCAACATCTTTTTGGGAATTAGTTAATCAGATGAATTATTTTGACTGAAACAAAGCCCTGAGGGGATGAGGTGAAGGAGAGGGTAAGGTATATTGAGAGGAAAGGGAAGATGGAAGGCAAGGTCTGGGTGAGGAGGTACCTCAGGGACCCTAGACAGCCATGTGGGAAGTAGCATGATAACCAGGTCCAAAAGAGGAAGACTGTTTTTTGGAGGGCAAGTGTTAGAGGTTAGTGGTAATAACCTTTTTACCTAGAAATGGCCTTGTAGTTGGAATTTAATTAAGTGTAACTTCTCAGAGGAGAAATAAAATGAAGCAAACTGATGTTTTTATTCATTCATTCCTTATAAAGAATTTGCAGCTCTTTTCTTCCGAAAATGCTTTTATTCTCCCATCAAAACACTTGTTTTCTGTCTAAGCCCTAGAAATGGTCACTGAGTACACTTGGTTGGCTCTGAAGTTTTCTGTATGCTCTGTCACAGAACTGCCTTCAGAACATGACATACACGTTTGAGTAGAAGGCCTAGAATATATTTTCCCTTAGCGTAATTTAAACATAAATGAGGAAGGAATAATGAATCTATTCTTACTTTAAGAGGGGATAGTTTAAACCTTCAGGTTATCAGCTATGGATATACAATAAGTATTTTTGGTTTTCTTTCCAAGTAATATCTTGTATGTGATCAGTTAGGGCATTGGTGGAGATGGTGCCAGGTAACAACTTTGTTTTATCAAACTGAACTCCTAAAGTGGACCCACACTGTGATTTAAATAAATAGAAATAACAATAGATTCTCTTTAATTGAACATTAGGGCAGCTAGATGGTGCAGTGGATAGAGTGCTGCCTATCAAGTCAGAGGACCTGAGTTCAGATCTCGCCCTCAGCTACTTACTAGCTGTGTGGCCCTGGGTAAGTCACTGAACCCTGTTTGCTTCCATTTCTTCATCTATAAAAGGAGTTGGAAAAGAAAATGGCAAACCGCTTCAGTATCTTTACCAAGAAAACCCCAAATAGGGTCATGGAAGAATTGGACATGACTGAACATGAACATTAAAAAAACAAACAAATTTAAAACAAGCTTGGGGATATATACTAGAAATCTCTTCATGTAGACATATGCTTGACCAGTTTTTACCTTGAAGACAGAAGAGACCTTAGAATCCACTGACTCCAATTCCTTCGTTTTACAGGCAAAGAAATTGAGGCATAGATGGTTTTAAGAGATTTGACAGGAGTCATATAGTATGGTATGTGAACTTAGGTCTTTCTGACTCCAAGTTTAACATCTACACCAGTATCATGTGGTTTTCTTCAAAAACATATTTAAAATAATTTCCCTCTGGAAAGAATGATTCCATTTTGGTTTGAACTACTGAGAAGGGAAAAAAAAACCTTTTATTTATGATGAATGTGAAAACCATCCAGAGGCAGACTCTCCCTAGGATTAGTTAATAGGTTTGGATAAAGGCACTGAGTTATAGAGTAGAAGAAATTCTCTCTTCTGCTCTTACTGCCATCCCACATTGTGACTGCATTATGCCGTGGTTGGGATCCGTGGTTTGGTTACATAAAACCATCTGAGTATTGTCCCTTGTGGCCCTCTAATACAGGAAATTCCGGGCAGACTCTCAAAACCAGATGTCTTCAGCTGGGGGGATTCTAACCTTACTTCAGATGAGGGATCCAAATAAACTGTGACCTCTTTGAGTGATCATAGGATTGCTGTAGAGTTGGAAGGGACCTTAGAGATCCTCTAGACCAGGGGGTCTGGACTGGGGGTTCATAAACTTGTTTGCTTAGTAATAACTGGTGCATTGGATAGAATGTTGAGTTCCAATCTGGCCTCAAACTCTTACTAGCTGTGTGACCCTGGGCAAGTCACTTAACTTCTGTTTGCCTCAGTTTCCTCAACTGTAAAATGAGGATCATAATAGCAATGTTGCAGGATTATTGTGGGGATCAGATGAGATAGTATTTATGCCAAAGTGCTTAACACAGCCTGTCATAGAGTAGATATTACATAAGTGCTAGTTATTAGTGGTATTATTAATAATTATTATGTTAATATAATTGGTTTTCGTTGTAATCCTATGTATTTTCTGTTATGCGTTGAAAAATAGTTTCTTAGAAGGGGTCCAGAGGCTTCACTTGACTGCTGAAGGGATTCAGAACACAAAGTTAAGAAAAAAGGTTAAGAACCCCCTGATCTACACCAACCTCATCAATTTACAGATGAAGACATGGAGGCCCAGAAAGGTTATATAACTTCTTGATAAATGTTGCACATATAATAAGTCACAGATCCAGGATTTGGCCCCTGGTCCTTTAACTCCAAATCCAGGGCTCTTTCCACTACACCAGTTAGGGCACACCACACACTAAGCACTGATTTTAGGAAGCACATATTTATCACTTACTACTTATAAGACAATACATTATGTGCTATGCAAAAGAAAAGAGGTAGCCGGATAGAGTGGAAAGAGCATTGGCTCTGGGATCAAAGGTCCTAGGCATAAATTTTCTACCTCTGACATATATTGTGACCTTGAGGAGGTCACTTAACATCCCTCAGCCTCAGTATCTTCATCTCTAAAATGAGGGGGTTGGACTAGAAGGTCAGTGAGGTCCTCTCCATCTCAGAATCTATGATCTTGTTACTGAAATGAATGAAACCTGGGAGGATTTGTGTGAACTGATGCAGAGTAAAGTGAGCAGAACCAGGAAAACAACTTATACTGTGATTACCACATTGTAAAGAAAAAAAAACTTTGACAGACTTAAGAACTATAATTAATACAATGACCGTTTAAAACTCCAGAAGCCCTAAATCATGGCACCCATGAACCACAAAACATCTTGGTCTAATGATGTAGAATGAAACTGAGTTTTCAGGAAGCCAGTGTCTGGGTTTTGTTTTGTGTGACTTCCCTTCCCAGATATTTACAGTTTCATTTACAATCTCCTCTCACTTTTTTTTTCATTCTCTGTGTATTGAAATGTTCATGCTTGATATTTAAGTTCTTGTTAAAAAAAAACAAACCCAAGTTTAAAATCGAAGATAGATAGGCATTCATCTTCCTCCCTCTCCCCACTCCCATTATGTAGAGAAACTTTCTAGTTCACAGTTATGCAAGTCACACTCTCTGATATTCATGGTGTTGCTAACCCATGCAACAATCTCTCTCCCTCACTTAATATAAAAGATGTTAACTATGTAGAGATAGGTTCATCTGTCAATCATCCTTTTGCCTACATAAAAGACCCTAACCTCTCTTGTAGGTTGTTTCTAATTGAGGCTTTTTTCTCTCCAGGTACAGTGCACTGTTTTGGACTCTGCTATTTCCAGGGATTTTTAGAAGGCATCCCCATCGAATGGGGAAGGAATCCCATATAAGAGACTTAGGTAAGTCTGTTTTAACCCTAGTCTCATTAATCCTTGGTCCTCTGGGGGAGAGAAGCCAAAGAAGTTTCCTCTGTGGTTCCTGCAGCCTCTGAGGGATGTTGTCATCCTTAAATTTTGATATTCCAACAGATATTGGGAATAACACTCATGGAATGGGTATATTATTCATGACACTGAAAAGGGATTTTAAAACTTCCTTAGTGATACCAAAGTAAAACAGATTGCATGGAAGAAACTAGAGTTCTCTAATGCAGCTTTTTCCTACAGAAATTTGCATACCTCTCTCTATTTTCTGGCTTTTTGGACTATAAATATCATTTTCCTGAAGTCTGTAACTGTGCCTGAGTATCCATCCAGGCTCCTTAGTAACTGTGACAAAGCCAAAATGATCATTAAATCATATAGTTATAATTGGAAAAGATCTTAGAAGTAATGTTGTCCAGCCTCCTCATTTCCAACATGAGGAGACATAACCCTGGAGAGGTTAAGTGACTTACCCAAAGGATATAAGCAGAAATGCTGGGTTTCCAACCCTCTTACCCCAAAGGTAGCATTCTCTCACCATACTATTTTGTCTCAGAGTTCTATAGCCCGTGATTTATTTGACTTGCAGTTTTTTAAACATTTTAATTTAATTTAATTTTTAATAAAAATCTTTTCTCTCCTTGCCCCACTCCCCTCATTGAAAAAAAGTGGGGGGGGGGATTAAAAAGAAAGCCTGTGCAACAAATATACATAGTCAAGCAAATTAAATTCTGCATTGGCCATGTCAGTACACACACACACACACACACACACACACACGTTTGACTTGTAAAGAAAAGCTACTTATCTTTAATTTTTTTGTTTGTTTTGGGCAGCCTATCACTGACTCCTTTAATTAGTTACTACTGCATTTTCAATTGGCCTTATCTGAGCTAAAATCAAAAATATTTTAGTTGGTTACTTGCTGACAGAATAATGTCTTTCTCTTAAGACGTTCATGTTTCATTTCAGAATGAAATTGTGAAACCATCTATAATGCATTCGTTTTGGTCACTTCTTGGCAACCCTGTATTAATGGTGGGACTTTGAGGAGATTCCCAGTCTCACCCCCTCCCCACCTCTCTCCACTGGCAGCCTGTTTAATCTGTCTGTTATTGAGTGAGTTAACCAGCTCTCTGAATTAGAAAACTACTAGGAAAAATCCAATAGATTTTTTAAAAATTATTACTGGTTTCCTGCCTTCATCAAGTTGATCTCACATTCTTCCCCATCCCCCAAGCCAATGAGGACAACCCATACCAACCAAGACACTTTCTCTAAGAAATTCCCTTTTCCCTCCCTTAGACATGAACATGAATTGTCACTGAGGTTTTCCCTACTCTGGCTATCCAAAGTCAAAAGACTGGATTTACATCTTGACCAGTGATGCCTCTGTCCTCTTAGGACTTATCTGTTAAGGCTCCTGATTAAAGAAGTCAGCCCTAGTATCTTTGGAACATGGAATTTCCTAGGTGCTGATGTTGTTCTGAGCACTACTATTCTCACGATCCCAATAATCAAAAGCAATCCAAGACCCTGTGACGTAAGTAAGTCTTTCTTTTAATCCCATGTCTGTAAATCAGATAAAGGGAAATATTATTAAAGCCTGCATGTGTCATAAAAATGAAGAGCTTTGGTATTGGAGGCTGTCTCTCTCTCTCTCTTTGTCATAACAAAAGTCTCTGACCCCACTCTTTCTTTTTTTCTATACTATGAAAACAATAAAACAACAACAGCAACAACCTTTACATGTGTAAAGTAGGCTCTATGATGTTGAAGGCATGTGCCAAAGAATAGAATCTCTTTCTGGAACTGCTTAAGGAGGGCATTGAAATCCCTTGTCTATTAACATGTTTAGTTTAGCCTCTGAATCTTCAGGGAAATATAATAAAACAGAAAAGTAAAGTGATGAATGGGCTTCATTTTCAGGGCTGGTTACTAACAGCGATATTTTACAAACAAGTTGATAAAACTGGAAACGATCCTATGTAATTCTGACACATTTATGACTGTACTATAAGATTATATCATCAGCAATATAGCCTTACAGTATTTAAATAAATCACTACATTCCTTTATCTGTTTAGTAACAAAGCATTTGAAAATTATTGATCCTTGCAAATCTCGAGTTCAGTTCATGTTTTTCTTATCCAGCAATACTTCAGCTAAATTTCCAGGTGGATCCATTGGACCCAGGTTTGCTTGGATTTCATTGACCGCTGGGTAATTTATTTAAGAGTCTGAAGGGACTTCATAGCTCATTTGGTTCATTCTCTTGCTTTTGCACATTAGCACAGGGCTGAAGTGATTTGGCCCAGTTAGCTGGTATCCCCATCAAATTGGGAAGCAGTCCTGTATTTCAACAGTAGTCCTGATGATCTTTAGAGAGAAGTCAGAAAAACCTCCTATGTCTTTCCTGTAGCCATGACAGCCGTTGCTATCACCACTGTATTTTGAAACTCTAAAAGGTTTTTGGAAATACCTTAGGAGAATGAAGACACTTATACCACCACAGAGGACTTTAATTCCTCTCTCAAGAAGAGCTAGATAGCTCAGTGGATAGAACATCTAAGCCTGGAGTCAGAAAGACCTGAGTTCAAATCCAGCCTCAGACTTACTAGTTTTATGACCCTAGGCAAGTCATTTAACCCTGTTTGCTTCAGTTTCCTTGTCTGTAAAATGATCTGGAGAAGCAAAGCACTCCAGTATCTTTGCTGAGAAAGCCCCAAATGGGGTAGTGAAGGGTCGAATGCAGCTGAAAGACTGACATGTATTTGAATTTGGAATCTTGGATTCCTCATCTGTAAAGTGGGAATAATAATGGCTCCTTCCTCACTGGATTGTCGTGAAGATCAAATGAGATAATAAAATATTAATAAATAATCGAATGAGATAATGTATCGTGAAGCTTTTGCAAACCTTAAAGAATTATGTAAATGCCGGCTATTATTTTCATTAATAGTAGTGAGTATTACATTTCCATTGCTGTCACCTTAGATCAGCCTCTCATCACTCCTCATCTGGATTATGATAATAATCTCTCAGCTGATCTCCCGCTTCCATATTCTTCACTTCTCATCCCAGGCTTAACAACTCTGCTAAAATAATGTTTGCATTATGTACATCTCGTCAATCCCCTGCTCTAAAGAAACGTAGGTTATTCCCCATTGCCTAAGAAGTAAAGTAGAGACTATTTGGCCTGGTATTCAAGGCTGGCCACAGTTTGGATCTCATGCACATTTCCAGCCTTATTTCATACTACACCTTATTACATGATCTGGATATTAAGTAATTTCCCAACCTTATCTTGCCAGATCCTGCCTCTGTGCATTTAGGGATTCATATTACTATGTCTGGAGCCTAGTCCCTTCATGTTTTCATCTCTTAGAATCCTTCAGTGCCCATCTCAGGTACCACTTCCTTCTTGAAGCCTTCTCTCAACTCTCTTCCACAGTCTCCCCCGCCCCCTTTTTTTGAGAGAAATTACCGATATCTCATCAGATCTCATTAACTACTCTGACTTGTCATAAGTACTTCTCTCCTGTGCACTAATTAAAAACTACAATTGAAGACACCCATGTGCAGTTTATAGTAATAGTTCTCTAGGGGGAGCTGCTGGCAAGAAAGATAAAGGACTGAAGATCTCACTTCGAGAAATTAGGGAGAGCTGGTGGGATTTCTTAGATCTGCATAGAATGGCTAATTTTTGTCTTTCTGCCAAAGACAAGTGACTGTCATCTGTGTTCAAGGTGCAGGCTTGTCTCTCTCCTTCATGTTAAAGTAAAGAAAATTGAGGACCATCTCTTTTAATCTCCAAATTATCAGGGAAAATGACGTGTGTGTGTGTGTGTGTGTGTGTGCGTGCACATGCGTGCATGTATTTCAAGGTTAAAAACAAAGAAGAAAAAAGGACCTTGATGATGAAGCAGAAAATCTTGATCTGTCAGGAAACTGAGGGCAGAAGAACATGATATAGAGAAAGGGAAAGAGCTACTATACACTTAGAGCTAAGCAACAAATATGAGTCACTCACCTAAATTTTGGCAAAGCATTTGTGAATCCCATGCTATTCTTGCAACCAAGATGATGAGAAATAGAGTAGATGATAGTAATTTGTCCATTCAGAATTGGTTGTAGGGCTGAACCCCAAAGGTAGTCATGGTTAACTTGGAAACAAAATGATGGACTAGAGGTGCAAAATGAGACATACATTATCATATACAGCCAATATGTGGGTTTATTTTCCTTGAATATACTTGTTTAAAAAAAAGGAAAGTTTATTTTTCATAAACTAATATTTATTGAGTACCTGCCCACGTTGTCCCAAGCACCATCTAAAACATGCAGAGGACAGAGCCCTTGCTTTCTGAAGTTCCCTGGCTCATAAGCAAAGCCATTAGTTGTGCTCATACCATGTTGACAGGTGGACACAGGGATCAGTGGGGCCAGGCTGAGCCCTGGGGCTGGGAATATTTTCTAAGACCTCCATGGAGGGCACAGCCACTCTTCCCATCTAGCCATGAACTTCCTTCCTGGGCTACAGAAGAGCAAATAAGTAATAGAATTAGAGTCTGATCAGATCTGGGGCAGAGGTAGGAACTGAGTGCCTCTCCGTAGCTGACTAGGGGAAAAGATACCCCTTCTCCACTGCTGTTGGATTTTTTTAGGGGTAATGAAAGCAATACTGAAATAAAGGAAGAAGGGAAAGAGCATCAATGAATCATTAAATAAGTAAAAGGAAGAGAGCAGAAGGAAACTCAAAAGGGGATACTGAGGAGATTAGCACAGCAATGGTAGTGGGAATTGAGTAAACCATACTCACTTCCATCTTGTGACTCAATTCTGGAGCTAGCTCAGTTCCTTTTGTATTCAGTTATAGGTCTAGTCCAATTTTGGTCTCATGAAGAAACTTTATTCAATTATGGGAACTGACAGAAAACATTTTTGCATTATTTGAGCCTAGCCCTGCATGGCTGGGAAGCTGAACCACCTCTGTCTGCTGCTTAGAGACCCTTAACTAAGGACCTAGGTTATGTTGACTATAAATCTTGTCAGATCTGAAGATTGATGCAAGAATTTCTCTCACGGTTATGTATCTCTCAAGCAATCTGTATGTCTTACCTGAAAACTGGACCCATATTGGTCAATCAGTTATTGTTTCCATGTTCCTTTGATTGTTTACAGATAACTCATGGAGAGTGGGGCACCTCTTTTTCAGATTTCAGGAAATTGTACTTATTTGCTCTTCCCCTCCCAATTTGGAAAGTCCCTAATCTATCTTCTAATTAGAAATCAGATTACTTAATTTTGAAGGCTGGTTAATTATTTTTTTTAATTAATTGGTATTAGTTGATTAATTGTTTTTAAAGCATAAAAGTCTGTCTCCTCTTATATTCGGTGCCAAAGCTGAGGAAGGCCTGGTCCCAACTTGTTGGGCAGTTGGCATGCATCGCTTAATAAATTGATATGCCTGGAAGCTCAAACCTTTGTTTCCTCAGTCATTTCATCTTTCACCCACCAATTTAAATTAAAAAAAAAAACCAGCAAGATTTAAATAGTAGACAAAAATGAATTGTCCTTGACAAAAGCGCATCATTTTATACATAATCCTCTTTTTTGTTTTGCTTTGTATACTGAGATGTCCATGTTTTCTGGTGTTTATCAAATTCATAATATAAAAGAAATATTTTAAAAATAAAAAATAATTTTAAAGGTCAAGGGTGAATGGACTGCAAGTTCAATATGAGTCAATATTATGACATAGAAGCCACGAAAGCCACAATGACCATAGGCAGTATTAAGTAGGGACACAGTGTTCTGGACAAGGGAGTAATAGCCCTGTTGTACTCTTCCTTGATGAGAGGACTGTGCTCTAAAGTAGTATGTTTACTTCTGGATGCCATGTCTTAAGAAGGACATTTATAAGCTGGAAAGTATCCAAAGGAGTTTGACTATAATATATAGTTAAAGCCTTCAAGTTTGTGTTATATGAGGATTCATGGATGGAATTGGGAATGTTTACAATGGACAACAGAGTATTTAGGAGGGACAAAACAGCAAAACATTTGAAAGGATGGCCTGTGGGAGTGAGATGAGACACATTGTGCTTGGTTGGAGAGGACAGAACTAAGAGGCAGATTAAGAGTTCATAGAAAAATCTTTATTCTAATGATTTGGAGAGCAAGCTCTGACAGCTTCTCTACCTTGCTAGGAAGTGTGGTCCCAGCAACAGACTCTGTCTCCTCTGTGACAACAGCCTCCCTAAGAGAGACTCAGCACCAGTGTGGGTGGACCACTTGGTGATTGATGCTTTGGTCTCAGCAACCTGTGAAATGAAGAGAATAGCAAATGGGCCTCGTTCTTATTTCACCCCCTTTCATTCTGTAGTGATAGGAGTTAAAAAAAAATGGGGCAACAATGTCAAGGCTTAATGTTTTTGATTATCTATAAACATTAACAACTGTTGACATTGGAAGTGTAAAGTCTTCATCCACTTATGAATGAAAACAATAACTTTGACATTCTTAATGTAAATATAACCAGTGGAAAAGTATAAAGGTATGGGACAGCTAGGTGACGCAGTGGATAGAGCACTGGCCCTGAAATCAGGAGGACCTGAGTTCAAATCCGGCCTCAGACCAAACACTTCACACTTACTAGCTGTGTGACCTTAGGCAAGTCACTTAACCCCAATTGCCTAAAAAAAAAAAGGTATAAAGGTATGTATGATCATGCCATTTATATATAGAAATATAGGATCAGTCAATAAATAGAGTGGGGCTCTTGGGCTGTACATGTAGCTTCAATGGTATCTAGATAGTGTCAAGAGAATACGAGATAGAACCTCTGTTTAGCTGACTGTCTATGAGGGATTTATAGGAGTCACATAGAATGGGCAGGTAAGGACCACCATAAACCATATCGTTAGATGAACATCGAACTAAGTTCACAGATCTATTAGAGTGTTAAAAGTTGGGATCAACAAAAGGTAGAGTTATCCAAAAACACAGCTGCCTACCTCAGGAAGTGGAGAATTTTTTCTCATTTGAGGTGCTCGAACAAAATGCTGGATAACTACTTACCATGTATATTGAAGGAAAGGATCCTTAAGGCCCTGAATAAAGTCACAGTTAAGGGGAAAAAATGTCAATATAAAGCTTCTTTTGTACAATCAAGCCTATAAATGCAATTATATTAGTAATTGCAGTGAGGCAGGACTCAAGATTTAGGAAAGGTGTCTTTGTGCTGGGATCGATACTTTGGGGATACTTAAGGAAAGAGTAAGCTATATAAATTCCTGTAAATTTGTAGATGAGAGGAATAACTTTAAACCCATTGAGATAGCCAATGGGAATTTTATTGGGAACACTATAAAATGAAGTCAGAAAGTGCTGATTGGTACTTTAAAGGAGACAGCAAATAAGTGATAAAAACCAATGTAGTGTTTTCTAAACATAGAAGTAAAATATGATTACATGTGATTAACAGCCGTATCTTTCTTTATAACTGATGTGAACCTGGATAATCATTCCTTTGAAAGATTTAAAAATCTGAAAACCTTATTAAATAAAGTTTGTAGTAAGCAACAGTAAGACTGCATAGTAATAAAGGGTAGGCATATTAGTAAGTATCTTGGCCCTTCTTTCATCTTCTCTAAATGAAGAGGTCATACTAGATTTTCTTGGAGTCCACTGACTTCATCCTATCACCCATTGGGGGCCAGAAGGACCGGTGATTAAAAATTAAACATTTGTGTGTTAAGTACACACGCACACACACACATTCTCACACATATGTATATTTATATATTATATATATTATATATACATATATATATATATATATATATATATTATTAGTACATACATGTATTATAATGCTTGTCCAGTATTGGCCTTCAGGTATGACAAATATTCTGTAACGTGGCTGACAAGAGATGTCTTTTTCTCTGAGGTATGAACAGTTTAATTCTAAACAATGTGAAACATGCAGTTATACTTTAAAATGGGTTGTCCCAGGCAATTTGATTTAATAGTGAACTTCAACCAGCTAATGTTTAACCTTAGCTTATTTTTTAAATATCAAGTATAACACATTCTGTACTTAGGTAGAAATAATTGCATCTGATATTTCAAAGGATGCAATGATTACTGGGCTTAAAGATCAAATGAGATCATATTTGTAAAGTGCTTCACAAACTGTCTGTTGCCTAATAAATGCTTATTTATTTCCCACCTGTGGAACAAAGAGGATACCAAATGGGCTTCATTCTTATTTCACACCTTTTCATTCTTCAATGATAGGAGTTAAAAAAAAAACATGGGGCAAAAGTGTCAAACCGTAGTTTCTTCAGACTGTCTTTATAAACACTGACAACTGTTGACATTAGAAATAGAAAATCCTCATCCAGTTATGAGGAATCTCTTCTCCCCTATGTAGACTCTGCATTTTTTTCTTCCATTACTTAAAAAAAGTTAATGTCTTCTGTCCTCAGAAGAACAATTGTAACCAAACAATCTATTCTTAAAAACAAGATTGGGTTGAAATTTTAAAAAAAAAAACAGAAAGGAGGAATGAACCAATCAAATATAGGATCAAATTCAAAAGTAAAGAATATAGCTAATGTGAAGAATAAAGACAAAATGGCAGGGGGTGAGGGTGGCGTGGGCAGGAGGAAAGTGCCTTAAAATGTCAGGGACATGTTAACTCAGAAATTATTTTTAATGTTTTGTTCTTCCGATGTTTCATGAATCACTAGGAACCTCTCCTCCAAGCAGACACTGTGCTGTTCATGTTGTTGGATCCTTGAAGGCTCATTTATAGAACGGTCCACACATGAAGTCACCATAAAGGTAATACACACAACCTCTACCATGTTGACCCTTTTTTATCTGACATTAATTTGAAAGATAATTTGTTATAACAGAACTGTTGTCTTAATTCTTAAGATCCCCAAATAATTTTCTCACATGAGGGTTATAGATTGTACCCCTTCCTGAATCTAGTAGGGATTAAGTCATTATGAGTTATATAGTCACTTCTCAATTATAAGTTGAGAGGTGGTAGCTAAGCCTCTCAGTTTAAGCCAAAAAAAAAATTAAACAACCAAATGACACCAAAACTGTGTGTAGAACATTTTGCTGTGTAGAATGCTAGACTTGGTGTTAGGAAGACCTAAGTTCAAATCCAGTCTCAGACATCCTGGCTATGTGACCTTGGGCAAGGCACTTAACCTCTGCCTCAGTTTCCTCCTAAGAATAATACCCCTTAAGGTTATTGTGAGAATAAAATGAGATAATATTGTAGAATGTTTTTGTAAACAGCAACTACATAAATATTAGTTAATATTATGATTACTACATATTGGTTCTTAGTAGACTTGTTTTTGAAATGGTTTGTTTTGTTTTTTGATGCCAGAAAAGTTAGTGATATTTTTGGTGACCCTATTAATAATAAGATGATCTTCCTTACTCCACTATGGATTTGTTGCTGTTGTTTACTTGTTTTTCAGTCATGTCTGACTCTCCTGGACCCCATTTGGATTTTTCTTGGCAAAGATACTGGAGTGCTTTGCCATTTGCTTCTCCAGTTAATTTTACCGATGAGGAAACTGAGGCAAGCAGGGTTAAATGGCTCTCCCAGGGTCAAATCTGAGGCCAGATTTGAACTCAGGAAGATGAGTCCAGGCTGTGTGCTCTATCCACAGTGCCACCTACCTGCCCCCAATATAGATACATCATAATTATTTTGTGAATTGTCATTAATGTGAAAAGTTCCAGATAAAAGAATATTGCATGCATGACTTTAATTTTGGTTAATCATCTGCATTCTGAATTGCTATACATTTTTACTGGGTCCATAATGATTTACAAACAAATTCAAACTTAAAACATTTCTGTAAAAGTTTTAGATTACATTTGGCAGAATTTAGTGAGGTGTCTAAGTATCATTCCCTAGTGAAAAATTAAATCTTTCCAATGTACCGAAAGAAGTAACAGGTACCATTCTAGTTGTAAGCACAAAAATAAATTTGTGTCAAGGTGTGTAGAGCCTATGAAGTCTGGAAGAGCTGAAAAGAAAGGAGTCCGAAAGCTGGGGTAGAATTTAATATGACATAGGCTCTTGTTTTCTGTTCCTTTCACCTTGTTTTTAGCAGAATTTATGATTATGGACCAAGCCTGAGAAATATTGAATAGATTTGCTAAATCAGAATAGTTTATTTTGTTTACAGTGTGTCCATTCTTCCTATTTATTGTGTTCTTAATACATATTCTTCACAGAGTCCAGGAAAGAAGGTCACTTAGATTTTCAAAACGTAGGAATTCTTGAGTCTAAAACTGTGATTCACTTTGGAAGTTCCTTCACATTACTGTTGTGATTAAATCAGAAACTAATGTTAATTTTGTCATTTGATCTTCCAAAATTCATTGAAGCAGATTCTTTTGACAGTAGTAGGAAGTGACAATTATTCATTTCTTTTATATAGAGACAGATGGGGGAAGGGGGTAAATTGATAGTTTTTACTTTTTATAACAGTTGGTTTCAGTAGACATTCCCCCTTCCCCTCTCTTGTAAATTTTTTTTTTTAAAAAAGCTAAACAAAACCAAAGGCTACCACAACCATGTTGTACAACATTTTGCCTCATAATTCTCCAGTGATCTAGACCTACAGGGAAGTTAAATGATTTGCCCAGTACCACATACGTAGTAAGAATCAGAGGTGAGCTTTCAGCCTAATCCCTGTGACTCCAGAGTACCTTTATCATCTCATCTCTTGAACTGAGCTTGACCATTACAGTTACGAGAAGTATTTGGGAAATATTTTCATTATACTGTTTTAAAATAACAATCACCATTACTTAAAACAAACAACATTTAAATTTAACAAAAAAATACAATTATGTTGTGGGCATTTTTCCTTACTAACAAACATAATTCTATACTGGGAACCTATGTATTTTTAAATTTTTAATTAGGTGAAAGGTATTAATTTTTTTTTTAACCGTACTTGTGATTTCACTGGTGTAAGGAGTTCCTGGTGAGGAAACTCTTTACCAATTCAGACAGGCAACTATTCTGTGAACTTTAGAGTCTTAGACAGTTGCTTAGAACACTTACTTCTTTTTTTTGTTTTGTTTTGTTTTGTTTTGTTTTTAGGCAGTTAGGGTTAAGTGACTTGCCTAGGGTCACACAGCTAGTAAGCGTCAAGTGTTTGGTCTGAGGCCAGATTTGATTTGAAGTCCTCCTGACTTCAGGGCCAGTTCTCTATCCACTGTGTTGGGACACTTACTTTCAAAGCCAGTGTGTGTCAAAGACTTGAACCTGGCTTATCTACCCCAATGTCTGTCTTGTATTTACCAATCGACACTGCCTATCACAGATTTAAGAACAAAATCCCATGAACTGATAATTAGTAAAAAAAATTTCTGACTTATTTGCAAAATTGGAGCGTGATCTGGTACTTCAGGAGTATTTTATTAAATTAATATAAATTCATATGTAATTCTTACTGCTCTTTGACTTTTAAGTTTCCAACCTGAATTTCTGCAGACCTAGGTATTTTTCCTCTAAAATGCTCAAAATGCCAACCAACATTCATCACTCTTAAAATTTTTACTCAACATTTATATTTATATATTATATTAATTTGTGTTATCTATATTATATTTTAATATTGTATTTATAGAATTTATATTACATTTATATAAATTATTTCTGTTATTTTATAGTATATGTATTTCTATAAATATCATTTTAATAAATATTTTTTATTTTGTTTACTCAGTAGTTTTTCTTAAGCTATTTCCAGACCAGTGAAAAAGATAGTGGGTAAATTCCGTGCTATACTCTGAAGTCTAATATTCCCCTAAGAAATAGCTGATACCTTTCCCTAGGCCAGTTCCTTTAGATTCCATATTCAAAGTCATAGGCAAATTAATTTCTAAGGGTGTGGTGAGCATAGTAACATAGTTTACCCTATAATTAGCATAATATTCACCATAGTAACAAATGGAACAATTTATTACATTTCAATGTTTGTCTGAAATGATGGGACTTGGTTATCTAGTACAAATTGTCTCACCAAAAGCACACAACCCTCCCCTCCAAAAAAAAAAAACCCTTGAGACTTCTCCATTAAAGTAGTTATGCCTAATTACTTTCCATAGATCCATATGGCTTAAATGCCCTTGTCCCACTGCTCCTTTCCATCTAAGGATATGAGATTTCTCCCACACTTACTGCTCATACTTGACCTTTTCCCCCTTTGCTCTTCCCAACCCAACCTCTCCAAATGCTTCAGACACCCGATCCTGGGACACCCAATACCTTCTGATATGGACATATCTATAACCCTAACATCCTGCTACCTGCAAGAGCTAAGATAACCACTCTGAACTGGCTTATGCCCTATCATTTTACAGCTCCTCCTCCACTCTATCCCTACCAACTAACATTTCATTAAACTGATAGCAATCTTTTTGCTCTTGCCCAAGAAATAACTACCTTACTTTTAGGATGGCATTTAGAATCAGAATTCTAGCCTAGGTACCACCAATGAATTAACCAGCAGCCAGCATTCTTTACTAAAATTAACACAGCATTTATAAAGTCCAAAAGAAATCACCAATTTATTTTGAAAAATATGTCATAATTTATTAACAATATTTAATATTTTCACAGGTAAATAAAATTATGTATAACAATATATAAATATCTTCCAGAAGGATAACATCTTTTAAAGACAGATTGATTACTAAATAGAAAGAAATATGTACAGAATTTTTCATTCAACAAAATTTGTTGTGTCCATATCAGGAGAGTGTGTTAGTATATGGGTTCTTGGCTGACATGTATAAATTGGCTAATTATCTCATCTTACTTCCTAGAACCATTTTCCTTGAAACAGGCAACATTTTTTTTTAACACTTCAGTTTTTGTCAGTATGGCAGGCAGTCAATTTTGCTACTTGTTAGCAATCCTAATCATAAAGGCACTGAGAGGAATAAGTTAAAACGATTGGTTTAAATATTTGTTTTCAGATAATAGGGATTTCTGTGATTTCTTCTGTCAATTCATTCTGTGATTATTGAGATCTGGTTGTACTTGAAACATTGAAGGGGTTTTTTTGTAAAAAATAGAAGATGCAGAGTACCTAAAGACTTTACAATGTCTTATAATTTTTTTTAACAGTCATTAAGAGAACTATAGTATATGATTGCATATCTCATGCAAATTATCCAAGTTAAGTGTTCATTTGATATTATTATTAGAATTGGCACTTGATTCCTTACTCTCAGACCCTTGAAACTAAGCTTCCATTAATAATGATTGGGGGGGGCAGAGTATGTTAATATAGCATACAGTATAATCCAATTTCACAAGGAAACAACCTGTAGCTTAAATACTTTTTCAGGCCGAATTAAATGCCACAAATTGTAGGTGAAATCTAATGATGGTGCCCATTAAAATGACACAACCTAAAATTAGACTCTCATTTCAAAGCAAACCACAACAGAGTAGTGACACAGAATTTCCTTCTACAATCTCAGATGTCAGTAGCTGATATTATTATCTGCACCTCCATTCACATTTGAGTAAATTGTCTTGTGCCAGGAGTTAAAATGTATACATGAAGATAGAAAAAAAAATATGCAGGTGCTAGTAAATCCCATGACAGAGAAGTCAGTGGTTCTGAATAAAAGAAGGTATTTCTATGATCCATTGAAAGAATACTTTGTTGATGTAGTTATGACAAATTCTTCACAGTACATTATTGTATATAAGTGATTTCTCTTGCCCATCAGTAGTCACTTTCTGTAATTAATGGCAAGTTTTTTATATTGTACATGGG